TTACTACATAGTTTTTTTTGTGTTTATTTTTTTGTAAATCTATTCCTAAAATTAAAATTTGATATCACAGAGAAATCTTTAAGAGTCAACAATATATATTTTTTTCATAAATGTAAGATAAAATTATTGTAAATTTAATTTATTATAATCAATATATCAGTAATTTCGTGAAACTATCAAATTAAAGTATTAAGTAAAAAAATTGGTTTAAAAAGATCAAAGAACTCTATTTCTTTACTCAGTTAATTTCGTTTAATCAATTTTACTGGTTTCATAATATAAATCCGGTTTAAATAAACGACGGGGGGCTCTGCGTTAATCACCATAGATTATTGTTGAAGTATAGTTTAATGTGAACTTTATATAGCAACCCTAACTTTGTTTATGGTATTATAAAAAAAAAAAAAACTTTTTGTGTGTCAATGACAGAACTGAAAAAGGATGTTTTTTTTTCTCTTCTCCATCGTTAATAATCCATTTAGTTGACTTGTAATAACATATTTAGTTGACGTGTAATAACAATAATAATCATAACAATTATAAATAAATAAATTAATTAAAAACACTGTACGCTAGCCTATACTTGGGTCAACGCATTTCCATTGCTATTCAGCGTGGAAATGCAGCAAGTATCCTAGGCACCATACCAGCTGGCAGTGATCTCAAAGAAATTTTTTTATCTTTAATTATATTTTTTTTATTTTTTGATTACTTATCTCTAATTATATATCTAGGTTATTTATACATCAATGTAATTAACATATATTAATGTTATGTAATAATAAACAGCAGTTGAATAATAATAACTCACGTGAATCATACTGTATGGTAAAACACTGTTCCATGTTCCAACAGTACCAATTTATTACATTACTTATATGTCATATTACATTTACTTGTTATAATTAACACGAAGCTAGGAAGCGTGCATTCTATGATTCATCGGTATTGGGGAGGGAACTGTAAGTAATGGAGTCTGATGGGCTCATTATTAGCTACACAGTTTGTCAAGTTGACCTGCACGCAGTCCCTCTTGGAAACCATTCTGATGAAGTCGTTACGATGAGCCAACCTGACTGGTACCCCAACAGTGTATACCGATAGTGAGGCGGGGTTACCATTCAATTATCATCCATTAATAGATTAAATTAGAATTTAAAATTGTTTTCCACAAAAAACCGACTTCATTTGTAGCAAAATTAGTTATTTTGATTTAGAAACTAAACTATTCAATCTATTCTTTGATTTGATGGCAGTGAAATTACAAGGTACAGAAGTATAACACCTAAATCCTCAGAAATAGCAACGCGTGGGGGTATTATGAAAGAAACAATATAGTTATGTTCATGGTACAGTTCATGTCTATAGGCGACGGTTACATTCCATCAGGTGGGCCCGTCAGCTTGTTTGCCATTTTAAGATGCATAAAAAAATCTTATAAAATTTCTATGGGACCAATCTGTAAGTATGTCTTTTAGGATAAAAAAAAATACAAATCGGTGTATAACCGACGTAGTTATGACGTAAGAAATATAAAAAAGAAAAATTCAACTGACTTGGGAACCACTTTCTTTTTTAATTTTTTTAAAATTAGAACGTAAAGACGTATGCGTTACAATTAACATGCAACTAGCGAGTTCGCATTCTGTGATTCAATATTTTTAAATACTTTAACAGAACAAAGGAAAATTGTAATGAACATACTGTATCGCATAAAAATTAACCAATCAGCGCTCGTATACATGGCCAATTATTATGAAATATTGATCTGAATACTGATATCGTCAACCACACCGCATGAGTGGGCATTTTGATGAAATTTTTAATTTATTCACACGACGCCATCGAGCGCGCGAGATTTTATGCAGCGGATTTTCTGTAGGTACGTGACGGCATATTTTATTCGTTCCCTTACGTTGAATTTATTAGCTGACCAGACAAAAGTTGTTTTGATCTCTACCGCCACCTACCAGCAGGCCTACTCTTGAATCCAATCTAATGCCGATGACAATTTTATACTGCACTCATGAAATAACAATTAGGAATTAAGTTTAAATTGGGAACTGTTGACAGTTTGTATTGGCAAGTTTTTATAATATGCATATATTAGAACAAAACGGAAAAATTATGTCGCTAGTGTTGCAATTCGAGAATGTGAAACATTTCAATTCCAATATCGATCTATTGGAATTTCTTTTAAGAGTAACCCCACAGGTCTATTTTTTATACAGATAAATACTGTTCTATCTGTCTAGGAGTAAACAATACTCGTTTACAAAATTTCATCAAACTTGATTGATCAGTTTCGGAGATTGGCGTGAGCGAAAAATGTGATACGGAAGTTGCATTGCGAATTACATATAAAAATTATTTATAATTTTGTTCTACAAAAAATACATAAAATTTTAATCGCGTCAAAATCAGTTATTTTGATTTAAAACCCAAATTACAGAACCAATTTTGATAAAAATTCTATAGGAATCATATAGAACATTTTAGATAAAAAAAAATTAAACTGGTTTATAAATGACGGAGTTATGAAGTAACAAAGGTAAAGAAATAAAACGAAATTAAAAAATTTCTATCATCGAGGTCAGTGTGAAAAAAAAAATTTAATTGTAATTATTACGATGTGGGAGAGATAAGATTTTACCGTCACGATATAATAAGATAGTAAATTTAATTAGAGCGGTTTAAAATTTGCACGTCCGCGGTATCGACGCGGTAAATGAAGGCATCTCCATACAACTGCATACAGTTCAAGGAAATCTTAATACAAAAAGAAATAGTGGATTTAAGTATCTTAGGGGGGGAAATCCATACCTAGTAGCAGGGCTTGTAGCAGAGTTTAATATCTATTTATAATTTATAAATATTAATAAAAAAAGTAAATAAGTACAATACATAGTTACAGTATATATTATTTAATATATATATAATTTTAACCATAGCTTGTATTTAATTTTAAATACACAATGCACAAAAGTATTATTTTTAGAACAATGCAATATTTGAATGAGTCTATTTCAATTCTCTTTATGTTCCTCCAGTGTTATTTTGAATAATATATTTGTTAATTATAATTATATAGTTATTAATTTTCACATTAAATTGTCTTCTCCAATATGCTTTTTAAACTGATTTTCTGCTTCTTTCTTCTTTTAAACAAGTAATACATTTTAAATCTTGGCAACCTTGTTATTAATGAATGTTGCCATTCTGAAATTAATTAAAAATTTGATATTTTTTTAACTTTTATATTTATACAATTAACTAAGGAATGTTATATAAATATTTGATTTATCTTCAATGGTAACAAATTCAATGAGTACATATTAATGACATGATGATGATGTTTAAAAAAATGTTGTTGATTTAGTGAATAAATAATATATTTAAAGAATTATACTGTTATTCAGAAGTGATTTTGCCACACAAAATTAAAAATTTATATCCTGTTACTGATAAAATTAATATGGTATGAACTCTATTAATAGCAAAAAACAAAACATAATTGAGTTCAGAATTGCCAATGCAATTAAATGTAATATTTTCCATTTGTTTGGGATTACTTTCCACTGATTGATAGTTGTTATACCTGAGCTCACTTCTCTTTTATGGATGTCATCTTTCAGACAGTGGATGACCTTTTCTTTGTCCATCTCTCTCTCTCTCTCTCCCTCTCTCTATTACCTCCACCAAATTTCACATATAATATCTACTTAAAAACATGAATTTCATATTTATGCATGCCATGTTTAAATTTAAATAAATTTAGTACATTTATTTAAATTTATTTAAACTACTACTTAAATTTAATATACCTAGGTGATAAATTTATTCTAGTCTGCCTTTTAAACTATGTAATATGGAGTGATAAATATAATAATTATAAATAAATATATTGACTAATTATTGTATTTTCAATTCAACATGAATGAAACAAATTATAAATAATTCATATTAGAATATCTCCTTGAAAGCCTTTTTATTACAGTATTTCTTTTTATACCTATTTATATAGGTAAAGATACAATTAATTTGTTTGCTAAATAATAATATAAAGCAGATTTATTTTTACCTTTAATGAATATTTTAAGGTTGTTATCTAATTATATTTTTTTCTGCTTAAAAAAAAAAGTAATTAGACATATATACACACAAAGTTTATATCAATAAAGTAAGTAGTATTTAAGTATTTATATCAATTAACTTGACTTACTCATGGATAGATAGATGGATAACAAGAGAGACATTTAACAAGAATTTACATTAATAATTTTATATGTACCATACCTATCTGTCCACCCCACAAGGGGCATTACATGAAGATAAAAAAAAAATATAGAGATATAGGTATGTGTCTCAGATTAGATAGATCCTAATATACAATAATACAAACATAATAACAGTTGAAGGGACACTTGAATTAAGTACCTATTTAACAACATCATTTCACTAATTTCAAATAAGAAATACTCTATTAAAACGGGTGTAAATTAATTACGTAAGAATTTACTAACATAATAGAAACGAGACTAGATGCATCCAGAGTGGAGGCTGTATAAGATCGAATCACGATATTGGTTCAATGACCCAGAAGTAAAAAAGGCAGTAAGTACATACCCACATACCAACTTTACGATACAAATAAAATTCTATAAATATCATAGAAACATAATATGTAATAGGATGAACATAATTATTTATTAGATATTCTCCTTATATATTATTTATTCTATGTAAATCTATGTAAATGAAGGCAAGGATGAAATATGATGAGTAATTTTACTCAAGTGACGAAAAATATACCTACATGTAGTCATTCCAATAAGAATATAATGCTATAGAATTGATTCATTATTTAAATTTTGAATACATTTTAATAAGTATGTATGAAGTTGTAAGTACATTCAAGTTTCAATGCACTTACCGAACATGCGCGGAACGAAGTAAACAAATTCTAAGTTTCCTACAACTTTAATTTATATAAATTTTACCTTTATCGATGAACGCAGTTGTTCCAGGTTCAAAATCCACTTAAAAACGCACTATCCACTTTGAATCACAACATTCCTCAAAAACACTGACTTAAAACTAGTAGCTTCACTCACAATCGTCGCCGCACTTTTTAAGTGAAAATTTTAATGAAACAACACGATATAGTGCTCAGACGCGTTATAATAGTATCTATTACAACTTTTTCACTTAGTTTCCAGTAATTCGTCACTGTATTTCGTGTAAAACTTAAAATATCGTAGTAAACAATCGGAGCACCGTTCGGCACACGACGGCCATCTTCCGCCAACGCGATGTTTGAGGTTATCTCCGCGAGAGGGCGCGTTTAACTCCATTTATGCCTGCCACACAATCTCATCTATTATTAATTTACAATTATACTAAACATTATTGAACTATTATCAGTGAGGAAGATTAATTTTATTTACTTCAATTTGTTCTACTAAATACATATTTATCCTTTAAAAAATTTTATTCTTGTAATTTGTATTTTGATTGTCAACAAACATTTTTGTATATGGCAAGTTGTTCGTATGTAATGTAGCCAGATAATGACATTTCATCTATTTTAGTATAAAATATTGTAAATAAGATGCGTATAGTAAGATTTAATTTATCTTTTATTTTTCTATTCTTGCGATTAATTAATCAATATTAATATTTCTATAGTCTGGAAGGAAAACTTAACTTTAGCAAAAAAATTGTAATGATATATTTTTTTAGTTTGAGTTATATTTCCATATTTATTTCATCGAATTGTATTACTTTCATTCCATAATACTGTTTTAAATAATTGACCACTGTCAACTTTTTTCAAAAACATTCGATAATAGCAGTATTATATCAGTCGTTAATTATTTACTGCCTGATATAGGCCTCCCGTAAAGTAGATAATAGCAGTAGTTTTTATTGAAGAATAATAACAACACCATTCCTGAATGTCATAACAAACTACTTGTTGATTGTTTATTGTTTTTCTGTTTAAAATACTTTTGTGAATTACCAACTAATACTATTCGAATAACAGTCTAAATTCAATATTATACAAAATGTAATATTTGTACAAAATTAACAATTCTTTGGGTAATAATAGACTTATAGCGGACTAATAGTACAACCAACTTATAATAAAATAGATTTTTCGTAGAAATTTAATATGAAGCAACAAAATCATCATTTTCCTACCCTTATCCCAATTATTATTTGGGGTCGACGTAATATGTTTTTTATCTATATGAAATATAAAAGATTTGGCTTAGTTTTACGACCAGCCGCCTGCCTAGCGTCAACCCTCTTTGGAAACAAAATATAACAACAAAATGCTGTCATGAAGTAAATTGGACAGGTTTATAACTTTAAAATTAATGAAGCTTTAAAATTAATTGTTTTAATTTCCTTTATGCAGGTTATCTGTTGTTATTGTTACCTTTAGCGATAAGACCACCTTTTGTATATGCACATTCTGTATACATTTCTATTTTGCGCAATAAAGAGTTTATTATATAACCTATTATCTGCTTTGTGTTACTTTTATGTTCAGATCCAAATTACACTTATATAAAAATGCAAGTATATGTACATTTTTTCAAAGCCACTATGCTACATATATGGACGATATGTCCCATCTGCGTTCAAAAGTTTATTTATAGTAAATAAATATTCAAACAATTAAAGATTACATTTGAAAATAATTTATAATTAGAATGTGATTGAAAAAGTTATTGGTTTTTTATTAGCTTCCAATCTGAACTGAATGCGGAATCAGTATGGTCTATGAAAGTAAGCTATAATATTTCTGAAATATGGTTCATTACTTTTTATTGATATTAATATGTATCTATTGTGTATTTATTTGCATGTATCTATTTATGTATTATGTATTGATGTCCTTCTGTCATGTTTGTTTCTGGAAAATTGACTCGCTTCATAACTTTTCTACACAAAAAAAATTTTTTTTTAAATAAAAATTTCTACTTACCTGTGTGAAATCAGATCATCTTGTTAACATTAAATGAATGAAATGAAATCATATGCCATTTATATTTGCATTTGATTTTCATATACAGGCTTATGAAGGGCTCTCTTTTCATTTAAGAGTTTCCTCTTGTCGGTGCAACTAATTCATGCATCTTCCTCCAGCCAGCTCTATCCCAGGTCATATCCTATCTCCCTATACGACATGACATCTAGAGTTTCCTTTATCTGTCCCATGTAGTTATTCCTCTGTTATTCTTATTCTGAAGGGCTAAATTGTTTAAAATATTCTTCTGAATAAATTAATAAATAACCAGGACCACACACTGTAAGAAGTAACCATTTACTTAATTAACCATTACCAGAGGGAGACTTTGTACAAAAGCCGATTGCTTGGGTACCTCCATCTCAACCGTAAAGCAGTTGTGTTTGCATGGCTGTGTTTCGGTTTGAAGGATGGGATATATATATATATATATATATATATATATATATATATATATATATATATATATATATATATATATATATATATATATATATATATATATATATATATATATATATATATATATATATATATATATATACACGTTCTTATATATATCACGCCCCAAATAATACGTGTGCACCACATTTCATAACGGTTTTTTAAACCGTTAAAACATCAACATGTAATAAATAAGTAAACTCATTTTCACGGTTTTTTTATACTACTATAGTGGCAAACAAGCATACAGCTCATCTGATGGTAAACGGGTCACCTTAGCCTATGGATGTCTGTAACACCAGGGATGTCACGCACGCGTTGCCGACATCCCTGGTGTAACCTTAATACGCCCTTTTAGAAGAACCCCATGCTATAGTCTCTACAGAAAGCACCGGCAGAAAGATCGTTCCACAACCTGAGTGTTCGAGATAGGAAGCTCCTTTGAAACGGCACTATGCGTGACCATTTTAGTTTTAAGGTGTACGTTTATAATATTATTAAAACTTTGGGGAAATTTTAGTCCATTTAAATAAAATTTTTGTCAAATCATTGAAGCATTACAAACTTGTACTACTACACTTGAACTACTACGTCTAAGTGTTTGCAACTCGATGCAAACTTATAATAACCAATATCAAAACTGTTCGAGGTAGGATGCAATTGGAAAATAGTATTAAAACTGGAATAGACTTCGAAACCACTTTAGAAGTGTGAATCCCTCCGGTTGAAGTTATAGACGAAAAAAACTGCAGTTGGAATTTTTTTTTATATAACTTAGAATGGCAAACAAGCTGACGGCCCACCTGATGGAAAGTGGTAACCGTCGCCTGTAGACATGAGCAGTACCATGGACATAACAGAGTATACTGTTTCGCCCATGATACTCCCCATGCGTTGCCATTTTTGAGGACTCAGGTGTTATGCTTCTGTACCCTGTAAATTTACGCCATATCCCATCCTTCAAACCGAAACACAGCCATACAAATACAACTGCTTTACGGTTGAAACACTAATGGGACAGAGGTACCCAAGCAAACGACTTGTACAAAGTCTCCCTCTGGAATTGGCAAAAAGCTAACGAAACACTTATTGATTGTTAGTAATGGGAACGTTAATCACCATTTCTAGCAATATAGGGTATATTGCTATCAGGTCGACCTCCACACGGTTGCATGATTTTTTTTCTACCTATCCTTTAAACTAAAATATAATATATAAAATATATATAGGAGAGAATGCTATATAGTATTAAATCCGCCTTTTGTACCAGACATTTTTTTGTAATGTGGTCAATAAAGAATAAATAAATAAATAGCCATGCAAGTACATCTGTTTATTTCTCTATGAGTTCGGATAGAACAGGGGGCCTACCATGAAATGAAATTCCGAATTTTCGGGCTCAATTTTGTATTTTATATATATATATATATATACCCATATATATATATATATATATATATATATATATATATATATATATATATATATATATATATATATATATTTTAAACGGCATGTATTATGTAATTTTAACATCAAATTTCTATTTCGTTCGTCCCCGAAATTTCGGAAAATATTTCATGGTAGGCCCTCTGGATAGGATAGTAAGGTAAGCGTCCATGCGTAATGCGTTATGCGTAAGGTGTCCACTGACGGTATTTAAAATGTGTATTAAATTTTAAATCAAAATATATTTATATGTATTAACTTATAATTATAACTATTTAAATGTATTATTATTATTTAACTCAAAATTCTGCACAGAAATGTTATTGAATACTTCTTTATTATTATACTTTAATACATAAATGTACCTATCTGATTTTTTTGTATGTTTGTTTGTTTATAATCCATAAATTAAACTGATTATAAAATTTCATCCACTTATTATTAGCTACATTATCAAAGAGTAACACGGTAAAGATTTTCTTAAAAAAAACCGAGCCATGCTGGATTGGGTAGCTAGTAATCTACATAAAAAGTGCCTTCTTGCACAATGCATAAATCTGTAGATTCCGAGAAGGCAAAAAATGGAATATATATTTTCAGCAGTCCGTAAAAAGCTGTGACGAAAACCAAAAAATTCAACGTTTCCAAAGTTAAACTTTTGAAAAAATTCTGAAAATTCATTTGGAGGCGTCCCTTGCTCGGTGGAAAGTTGAAATATTCAACCCTGTCGAGTTTCAATTAGACATGTTACAAAGTTGCTCACATACGGTTAAATGTATTAGTGGATTTGGCTGCAACGAGCTTGGTTGATTTGCATTTAACTGTGGACCGTCTCTAAAAATTTCAAGCGAATATAAATTATTTCAGTGGTTATTTTTGTGCGACTGTGCTAGGGTTGGCTCTGACTAATGGATGGATCTCTCCATTTTTGTTATGTAGTGGAGCTATTCTTTATTTTTGTTATACCTAACGATGTATATACTACTAATTTTTATTATAATTACTAATCCTTACTAATATTATAAATGTAAAAATGTGTTTATTTGTTACATTATAGCGCCTTAACGACTTAACCAATCACTGTGAAATTTGGTATAAACATATTATGTGAAATGAAGAAATATACAGGTTAATTTTTATGCCGACCAGTAAATTAATCCCAGTCATGCAAATGAAATCAATGATAACATATTCCTCAACAGGCTATTTGATTGATTCCTGGAAATCATCTCAGACTATTTAGTGGTGTTTATCGATTCCCCAATTATTTTTAATTCATATAAATATTTAATCAAAAAATAGCGATTAAAAAAGTACCATTTAAACAGGCCTCCAAAACACATCTTTCGAACAATATGGCGTCAGTGACGTC